ACTCAATCAGTTTGTCTGACAAAGCTAATCCTTTTTTTGATCTCTACATTTACTGAAGTCACTTGTGCCTGGAAGCAAGGAAATAATTCCTTATACGGTGTGCAATTTAGCCTTCATTGTACGTCGAAGCCAACGCTTCATACGTAGTTCAACCGTCATTTTATTCGTTAGAACAGCTATCTCCATACCGTACAACTTCCCGAAGAGCTTTACCCCTATTTCGCTTACATAGCGTTAGCTGTTCAGGATGTTCCTCATAACTTTTGACTTACTGGCGTTAAGAAAGAGGCCAGATTTCGCAGTTTTGTTACATACGGTAGCCATCAGGTAACAGCTCGTTTTCCGTACTGCTCACCAGAACAATATCATTTTGTATTATGTACTCTTTGTCACTAAGCTACCCAACCTGGATATCTGAATATCCTGAGTTGCGCCTTCCCTCTACAATGAGACCTTCGTCTTCACCAAAGTCAACTGTTGAATAGCAACGGCCAAAACATGTCCCTGACGAACTCTACAGTTAAGGTAACATTACTAAGATAGCTATTCTGCTACTTTGGCAGCAGACATTGTTTCTGCCTACGTCTCTTTCAAAACAGAAACGAAATGCTCAGGTATCCCATAGCATTTGTTGATTTTCCACATCGTCAGTCGATATAGTCCACATAGTCAATCAAATGCAGTATTAAAGTATCAAAACAACTGAAATCGTCGGAATTACTCAATAATTGTACGCTGAGTGAAAATGTGGTCGTTGCAGGAATACTGCGAGCCTACTTGATTTGGAAGAAGTGTTCCATCAGTTGCTGGCCTCAGCTTTTGCAGGATAATCATGAGAAACATTTTCAGGGAGCTGAGAATAGTGTGATACCATGCTAGTTGGACTACTCGGTCACTTGAATATAGGGACAGTTACTAGACACTTCCGTTCTCATAAGAAACGTTTGTAGGTTCACGTTTGATGCAATAGGATACTGAGTTTTGCTGGCATTTTCGTCCCTCCATACTCAATTAACTCTGGAGCATTGCGACCCACCCCGTTAGCCTTCTTCACATTGAGGTGCGGATTTCTAATTTTGTTGGTAAATACGCACTAACCTCTAGTGTTGGGGCAGTGACTTAACGGTCAGAAATGTCGAATCTGGAAGTTGGCCGTCAAGCAACTGCAGGAAATATTAAGCCAGTCTTTTGAGGAATTCCTTCTGACCTGCCAGTAAGGGACCTTAGCCTCTTTGCCAAGTCCCTTGCTTACGGAACAACTTTTGTACATTTTTAAACACCGTTCTTCACTCTTTCTAGTTGCATTACTGATTTTTCTGATCCCCACCCAGCCAGTGTTCCCTGTTTCGCTTGTAGCTCTGGTAGCCTGCACGCATGAGACAGCGATAAGTTGCCTTCGAGGGCGTAGTAGAATGTTGCAAGTACTCCTTCTTTGCCTACTACATCTTTGTACTCTAAGAGCCAGTGTCCTCGTTAACCCAGTGCAATTTGGCTATATTCTGTCTGATCACAAGTACGGTTTTCGGTTAGGAAATGACAGCTTCTTTTAAGTCTGTTTGCTTCATGATATTGCTACGTCATGCCTGGGGATTAAGGGTGGCATTAAAGTAATTCTTTATTTGGTTTTGGTAGGCTCACCGCTCCGGCTTCGTCATATTTTAGCCTGGTAACATTGAGGTGCTTTCGACCAGACAAGGTCTCGAGTAACGAGCTACCTTAATTTGCGGTTGATGAAAACGTGGCCCAGTTGAGTGTTGTTTTGGCTTCCATGGGGAATATTGTAACTCGTTTGGTGAATATGCTAATGAAGAATGTTGGTCCCTGTGACGATTAAGTGTATGTCGCCAAAAGCTTCACAAATTCATGATATCGAAGTCGTACGGCTGGTTAAGTAGCTCTTAATTACTAGTGGCTCAAGATTTCGTGTTTTAAAATTGGCCGGTTTCCTGTCAATGGACATATTATAGTGCTTTCTTTCTTTTACTCCTCCCCTCTCTTCCTCCCCATTTATCTTTCTGTTGCGGATCAGTATTTTCTTTTCCAAAATTTTCCGGTGATTGTCCGCCAGTCGCTTGTCTGTCTGACCTCCATCTGTCTGCCAGTCGATAAGAACGTCATCGTAAATTAGTTTAATTTGCAGCGATTGCATGTCGACAGGTGCAGGATTATGAATTAAAGTCTTAAATTTGATGAACAGTGATTTTTATCAATTGATTTATGGAATGTGGAAGCAGTCAGTTAATTTGATAGCGTTATGACAAAGCGAGTTTAACATTTTGAAACATCTTTAGTAGTGTCAATAAACAGTTGTTAATGGTAGGACATCTGTACTGTTTGTCATTTTATGTCTGAAATATCAAATATTTTATAACGCATTAATCAACAAAATTTGATTGAGAAACAGGTACGTGCTATCAGTACGGAAGCAGGCAAGTTTTCTGATCCCATGGCCGTCAGCTTGAGGGATTACATTGGTTATCTTTCATGGAAAGTGAACACACGCTTTTCCATTCAGAGTTTTTATCCAGTCGTGGCGCCAGATTTTCAATCAGGAAACAAGAGTGGCTAAACGCTGGCAAGTCGTTTGTTTATTCTGTGATCAGAATTCCCGGGCAGGCTTAACGCTGCCAACACTATTAGTGGTATCAATTACCCCAAACGTTTTGACGATACAGAGACTAGCAGTAAAAGAAGGTATCTTTTTTTCAAGCCTTTCTACGCATACGCCCTCAAATACTTACTTGTGATGGATCTGATTTAAAGAGTACTATTCGTGATGCAAGACGGCAAACGAAGTATTTGAACGAATGTCGATTTGATGTGACTAGAAAGGCTGTCACTTATTAGCCTCTCGTTCAAATCGAAAGTAGATCACAATTGAGATGAAGATGTACATGTAATTGGGATGTTGCATAAAAAATTCGCAAAAATACAACTTTCTCCACTAATTTACATGGGAGACAGACTGCATACCAGATGTTTCGATTGTATTGAGGATAATCTCTTGAAAGTTCACCCCATGGAGTTTATCCGGTTAAAAGAGAATTGACACTACTGAGAAAGCTTCCGAAATTGGTTTCACGACCTAGAGGGCTTTGAAAATGAATGGCTATTGAAGGATGTACGAAAAGTCCAGTAATATTTTCTTAATATGATGGGAATTCTTTGTAAAAGGAAACTGTCTGTGTGAAGTTCCCTCATCCGTTTTATTTCAAATATTCGAATGGCAATTTGCCAGGTTGTCCCAACAAGAGCAAAATTTGTTTGGACAAATCCAAACCTTCAGTGTTGTTCTGTTGATTTGACTGATCTTATCATGTTCAATATTATAATTTATTAATTTTGTCTTTTTTATTGTGCTGACAATGCCTCGGAAAACATACGTAGGCGAGGACCGACGAGTGGTACTTGAAAAGGATCGTTTGCGGAAGCGGATGATGAGGGCAAATGAAACACCGGATCAGCGATTGAGGCGACTGATCACTGACGCGCTGAACCACCGGATATCGCGGCTAAAGGAGAGCGTTGAGGCACGCGTTCAGCGCCAGATGAAAGACGCCGATCGAGCAAGAAGAAGGCGCGAGCGGCTGAAGCAAGAGGAAGAAGTACGTAAGTTGGCCGAGCAGGCCGCCCAGAGACAGATGAAGTTAGAGAGCAACTGCAACAACAACTGACTGTTTAACCAACCGAACGAATGAAACACCGGTTGACTCAGACCCCTATCAGTGCACATCTCGCCTCACCTCACCTCGCAGTTTAACTCGATACTTGCAGTCGGTGGTTGGTTGTTAAGTGTGTTCTTTATGAAACAGACGGTTTACCTGTTGAGGGCCATGTAACCTTCGTTTTATTTGCTTCTGATCGCTTTGCAGACCGTGTATCAAGGGACGAATTGTTAGGCCGTGATTTATAGACGCAACATGATGTATGCAGAATTAGGTTTGGTGTAAACTTGCTGTTTTGCCATCGTGTCGTGTCATAAACTTGTGATAATCTCCACATATCTGGAGACTCTTGTAAATGTTCGATTATAGAGGACCTCATAATGAGAAGAGGCTGGATTTCAACATTAATTTGATATATAAGTGAAAAAGCTGAAGTGATAATGAACAGGACACGTTGCAAAATAAACCGATCATCGTTTAACCAAAGGGAATCACGTGGGTTCTATGAGAGCGTAAACCTTCCGTAGAAGGCAGGATGAGCTGCAGAAATTTGTTGAATAAACATGGATAAAAGTTGCAAAAAAACAAGTTTATGACAAAATTTTAAAGGCCTTCATCCAGCAGCAGACTGAAGAAGATTGATGATGGTAATGAAATATATACTTCTAACTATCGAATTTATATTTTATAAGTTACAGTTAATTTTGTTCCTTAACAGAAAAGGAATGAAAGCTTATCAACGTTGGAATGTCGGTCTTCTTTCACTTTCACGATGGGCCATTTTGGCGCCCTTTCTTTCATTAAGTCGATGGCGAGGTGCTGATTCCGTTTCCATGCCATCATTCAGGAGTACCTTATTTTAAAAGCAGAGTCTATAGTCATATAGCAAACGTAGTGAGTTTTCTCCTGTTTCCTTCCCACAGAATGGTACTCATTTATAAAAGTCAGAGAGCGAGTGACTCTGACCGAAGCTTGAACCAGGAACCTCGGTTCTAAGTTCGATGCTCTCTCGATTGAACAATCCCGGCGTGAAGCAAATTCAGGTGAATTCCTTGCTCAAGGTAATTAATGAATAAGACAAAGATTAACCGTGAGCGGAGTCGAACACGGCACTTCCAGAGTTCGAAGCAAACCATTTAGGCACTGTGTCAGCACGCTGTTTCTTAATAGAATGTCTTTTCAGTGTAGTTATTTGAAGTCTGCAAGTGACTAGAAGCTAATTTTGCTATTGGACCACGCGAAATTTTATTATATGTTTTAGTTACTAAGACTTTAACTCATCTAGAAGTGGATTTCATTTTGTATTGCACTGCACGTTTGCTTCTCGAAGCCTAATGATCTGTTTGAACATTTCATTTCCATTGTGCAAACATGAGCATTTGTCTTGGGTTGTGCATCCATGGTCACTTTGCTAAGCTGAACAATAGTTGGCTCGTTGTCAACGATGACATTTCTGGAGCCGGTACTTTTTATACGCTTCCTGCTTAAATGAAAATATGCCTTCAGTATACAAGAAAACACTGCGGGAGAAGGGGTCGTGGTGAACTCTAGCTGTGGATGCGTTAAGTACTTAATATCATGTTAATTATTTAGTTCTTGCGTTGGCGGCCATACTGAAAACAGCACAAAACAGAATGGTTTATATCCAACCAAACGATATCCTCAGTCAGATGACTGACCATACGCGATGCTTCCGCCCGTGTCTTTGGCATTCTTCAAGCCAAAGGTATCGATTAGCTTCGAAAATCTTTATTGTTGTTCGCAGCAGTCGTACCTCCCAAGCCAGAAGGCCTTAATTTTATGTTCTGGCTTACTAATCTGTGTTTACTTCTTTACGTAATTATTTCAGTTCGTGGGTTTCCTTTCATGCTGACGGCGGAGCTGGATGAAGGCGAGTTGCATTAGGCTTTCTTTGAACAGCAACCGTAAATCTTTGAATATTCCTAACTGCTCGACTCGCTGGTGACCTAATTTCTTCCAGTTTAAGTTCATCTGGATATACTGGGGACCTCGAAAGTGTCAGCCGCGCTTTCAGCGTTTTTGTTGTTCAAGAATTACTGCCCTTATCGCTATCCTATCTAATACTGCTCTTCTTGACAGTTCTTCGTTTAAAGGCAAGGTTTCAAAAGTATCCAAAACAAAAGCAGCAAGGACAAATTGCGTCTAATCGCTGTAGCGTGGAGATTATGAATTTAAAAATGATATAGGTTTCCTGGTGAAATATGGCACGTTATGTGCTTCACAATTATTTGCATGTACGGCTTAGCAGCTTAATAAAGCACGAAGCCCAAAGCCCTGCGTGCATACAGAAACTGTGATCAGAATGAAGGTCAACCGGTAAAAAACGTATATATCAACTGGTATCCGCAATGCATCAAGATAGGAAGGCCGCCTTTGCGCCGGTTAGATCCTTTATTATTGAACCAAGATCCATGGCAAACCATAGACGTGTGTAGCGCAGGACAGAAAGCGATGGAATGATTTAGTGAATTTTCCGCACTGACCGAGAGACTATCTTCCACGGTGATATCACAGACCATCAAAGTTAAAAAACTTTGCAGTGTGAAATCGAAATTACCTCTAAATCAATGTTCCTTTGTTTCCTTCACATCAGCGCTCTTTATCTTCGAAGGAAGTGAAACATTTAATGGTACGTAACCAAAAATTACGTCAATAAAATAGAAAGTTGCTCATATTCTGACGAATTTGGTAATCAGTATGAAATGACAATCATCTGAGGAATGTCATATAATTTTCATCTATGTCACCATTGTAGATACTTTAATCTGCCTATATAGTTTCACTCTTGCACACATCACAGCGATGCCCATTTCATGGTGTCGGTATATCTATAACAGGCCTATCAGATCGCAAGAACAAAAAGTTCAATTCTGCTTTTGCATCAGTGGTCGATGTAGATTCTGATAGTAAACGACGGCTGTAGCTTTTGAACAATTGAAGCATTCAGTACCCGGTGAACAGAGACAATAAACTGAAGGCAAGCCATGCAAATAACGTACTTATGGCTTGAAATGAGGGTACTGTCTAAAACGATGGAAAACGGTGTAAAGTTTACAATTGCTCCTATCACAATGATGTTTTGCTGTGTACCGTAAATGAACATCAGCTCTGAACTCGAACATGATTAAGTGATAC